CGACCACAGCCTGGCTTCTCCCCGACCTGCCCGGCTCAAGTTTCCCGACCCTTTGTCCCTATGGGGGACCCGCGTCCCTGGCGACCGCGTGGCCAGACTGGTCACTCTGTTGGACGCGGCCTCGCTGGCTTCCTAAAGGCACCAACTCGCCGGAGCCTTTCGAGAGGGCGCGCCCTCCACGCTCCGGCCACCTTGACCTTGGGCCGCGCGGCGAAATCTCAGTGCCGCCGGGTCTGAGCCACGGCCGGGGAAGGCGCGCCTGGCCCGAGTCTGGCTTCAGTTTTGCTCAGAAGTGGAGACAGAAAGGGCCCCGATCGCGTGAACTTTGAAAAGGGAATGCCCTCTAGTCCAGAAATTAGCCAAGAGCGGGCGTCCGGGGTCCGTGCGCGCGGGGCGCGGGGCGCGGGGCGCGGGGCCATTCTCCCACGGGCGCATTTCGCTGGGACGCGCGGCAGCGGGTTGGCGAGTGCGGATGCAGGTGCGAGCCTGCGCCTGTGACTCACCCGCTAGCAGGTGGCCTTGGCTTTCCAAGCGAAACACTTCCTGGGGTTTCCAGGCTAGTGCAATTTCGTATACTTTTATGCTTTTCGACAGAGGCCATTTTTTGACCCGTACAAATATTTTTAAAGCACTTTCAAAATCTATTCCATAAATGGGAGGTGGAATCTAAAAACCTCTCATACTTTTACCTCCGAGAGTGAATTCCGGGTAATATTTTGGCCTGTGTCCTCCAATGTTTTTTCTATGCTTATCCATGCATATTGGACATACTTGGGACAAGGCCTTGCAAGGATGTATTCTGCCCTTTTCATTTAACGCAATTGTGAATATTTCTTCCATTCTATTAGATATTCTTTTATAACACGATTCTTAATGGCAGCACAAATGTACAAATAAATTGTCTACATTTTTTCTGTTTTTCTATATCGTTATAGATCCGTTCTTCACATCTCCAGAAATCCTCTGCGAAGACACCCAAGTATTGTTTAGAAGCAGCCTTGTGTCTGCGAGAGGGAAAAACCCAGCCACCTGTCGCAGTTAGCCGGTCCCAGGCCTGACTCATCCGTCCAACAAATATTTAATCAGTGCCCGCCATCTGCCACTGTGCGGTTCTGGCCTCTGCTCGTGAGCCCGGCAGAAACGGTCTGTGCTGTTTTCTCCACAGTGTGTTTTAACCCTGGTGCCGCGCTGGAAATATCTCTTAGGGTCACATTTAACATGAAATAAAATCAAATGCTCGATGGCAATTTCTGAATGGATGGCTGTTGAGAAGCTGGAGGAGACTAGGGAGCAGAGAGAAGGGCAGAAAGTTCCATTCTAATGGAACTTACGTCATCGATCGTTAACTCCTGCTGCAGAGCATCCTGAAGGCAGATCCGGAAACTCTCACTGAATTACTCCCACATGTTTGTGGGCAATGTGGGGAGAAGGTGAGAAGCACATACCGCTGACCCTGACAGAGGCCACATCTGCTAGGAGGGCCTCATGCTGGCACAGTCACTCCTGCATGCTCACACAGACCTCCATCCCGCGAGCCCTTCCAGCATTGGGCGAAAGCCACCAAGGCCCAAACCGAGCAAGCCTCGGACTCCAAGCTCAGCATCTCGGGTGAGAGGCGGCCTCCTGCGTCACGTGGAAACTTCAGGAAAAGATCAGAGTGCTCCTACTTCTGCAGTTCTAGAAATATCCTTAAAGGCGTGAACACACGCCAAGTGGCTGGAGAGGACAGACACTGTAAGAGGAACCCTGGACTGGCATCAGGTGTCATCACCCAAACTCTGCCGCACCAGGCACTTTTCTGCTGCATATCTGAAAGGAAAAGAACGTAGTTGCTCAAAAGGAAACCAGGTAGAGATCGCAGATTTCCTGCTTTGGGCGCCTGGCCTCGGGTGCGCCAGGGCCCTGAGGCCCTGCTCACCGCTTCTTGCCTCTCACCGCGGTCACTGCTGCCACCGAGCCCCCCGCACGGCCGCCGTGGGGTCCAGCCTCCCGACCAGATTGACCCATTTAAACATAGATCAGGTGGCTCACTTCACATTTTGAAAACGTGTCAATCCACTGCCACAGCCTCTGAGGTTCCATCTGGACTGACCGTGCCTGCTTCACTAGCTCCATGGGGTCCTGCTGGACGCTCACCCTCCCACCCCACCCACAACAACAACTCATTCCCCTTGAGGGCTTGGAGTTGCTGTTCTGTCCGCCATTCCTCCAGGCCTTCCTGGGGCCAGTCTTCGACTTTATTCTGATTGGAGCCCAAATATCCTCTCCCCAGAACATGCTTCCCAATGAACCTGTGCGTACCTCCCACCTGTGTACTCATCACGTATTTCTGTGGCTGCCGTGACAAAGTACCACAGGCTTAAAACAACACACAAGTCTTCCCAGACAATTCTAGAGGTCGGACATCCAAAATCAGTTTCACTGGGCAGAAATCAAAGTGTCAGCAGGGCCGCATTGTAGCTAGCATCTTGCTTCAGTGGCCACACCGCCTTCAGCCTCTTCTGTGGTCAAATATCTCGCTGTCCTCCCTCTTGGCAGGACACTTCTGATTACACTCAGGGGCCGCCTCGGTAACCTAGGATAGTCGTACGTACGGGCAAATACAAATTAAAACTGAAAGTCTTCATTCTTCCAGGTGCAAAAAGGGAGAGACTTTCCCCCACAACCACCACCCTTTCCTTAGAAAACTTGTCATTGTGAATTTTTCTCTGACTCTTGGAGACGTAGATCTAAATCAGCCTCTTGCCAGCTTTACAACCCAGGACTGTCTCTCTCAAGGACCCGGGAGCCATCTGTTTGAAATGTAAATATCAAGGGAGATAGGGCTGTGTCTCCCAGTACCCATGGGAGGGTGGGAGCCTAATCTGGCTCCAAGCTGCAGAACCACCTCCTGTCAAAGATTGTTTCGAGGTTTTGTTTTTGTTTTTGTTTTTTTGTTTTTTATGAACTCTGTGTGACAAATGATCAAGTCCTCTGACCGGAGGCCTAGCTCTGATTTATCTTGAGAACACGTGTGTGCTGGGGTTGCATCTGCGGGGCTGTATAACCGGTGAGGTTTCTTTCTGCTTTTTGCAACCTCTTAGCGGAGAACAGTGAGGCTTGAAGGTGAAGGTAGGAGTGGGTGGTGGCCTTGGTGTTCTTCATAGCACTTATCACCTACTTGAGATTAGTGAGGTATTTCTTCCTTTAGATGGCTTTTGTCTAATTACCCACCACAACATAAGTCACACAAAGGCAGGGCTTTGGCCCGTCTTTTTAACCACCAAGTAACCGTAATCGGCTCAAAGCATGCCGTCAGGCTCACGGTAGGTAGTAAGGGTCTGTGGACCAAAGGAATGAGGAAATGTTAAGAGGTTGACCCCTCGATAAACTGCCAGCTCTCTTCCCTCGGCTACTGCTTCTTAAGCAGGTGTCAGGGGTCTGGCAGAACTCTCGGTGAGAGAAAATACCAGTTTTTCTTATAGGAAAATTCGAATCGATATGTGAATGAGGTAACTCATTCAAGGAACTTGGAAGAAAACTTGAGTCGATAACTCTCCCACTTGAACATATTCTTTTACGTGGAACATTATTCCAGAATAGCTGGAATCCGAGAACCTGTAGGGAACCTCCGGCTCCAGGGGGGGCCAATGGGACCAGAGTCACACCCTCCACTCGCCGGCAGCCACGCTGACCACTGGCTGGCGATTCGGTCCTAGGACCAGACGCTGGAGGAATCACCTTGGTGTCTCAGCCTGAAGAGAAAGCATCGGACTTTCCCTAGAAATCTATACTTCTACCCTTTTGAGGTCAGATCTCATCTACTATGACGGTGCTGTCTTTTTCTACTGCAGACTGGCTTCGGATTATATCTTCTTCAGCTTAATTCAAAAGACGGATTTAGAAACCAGTGTGTCTCCGTTCTTGGTTTAAAATCTACCAACTCGATTTAGAAACACGAGGACATTCGAAACAGAATCCCTGCAAAGTTTTTTGCAATTTAGCAGAAGCAGGTGTGTTTTCAAGTGTTTTGTTTCCTGCGAGTGGCGTGTGCTGTTGTTTACGAGAGCCATCTGTCCGTGTTCGCCAGCAACCAAAATACCGCCTCTCACCTTGGCTCATTTCTGTCCAGACTCCTCTCGAATTAAACCACTTGGAGACCTGGAGGGAGTAGGCACCTGGCTTCAACTCAGCGCCTTCTGATCGGCAGCAAGACCAACCCTAGGTCACAGTTAAGTTCGGTGTCCTCGGAGCTGGCCAGTGAAGTCCTGTGTTCTCAGAACTGGCTTGCTTTCGCTGTCTTAAAAGCATTCCAAGAGGGTTTTCTTCAAACAGGGTTTAAGGTTTATTTCGTGAATTTTATTAGAAACTACAACAACATAGCATGTTTACCTACTACGTAGTAACAGCCTATTAAATTACTACATTCAACAAATGACATGCTAAATAATATTAGTTTTAAAAAGAACAACATGAAAACTATTTCATTTCATAGCATCTCAACTGTGCTCAGCGCCTCCTACTGGCTGAGTTAGTGCCTGTGCTGGCTTATGGTCTCTAACAAAATTGCATCTGGTGTATTGAACAAATTGGCATGATTTATGGGTCAGACGGAGTTAAGAGAAGTTCTTAGGGTTAAACTAAGAACCAAAAAGTGATCACGGGCGACCTTAGTGTGTAAGAAAAGGAACTCCGCAGCCGGATCCGGGGAGCGTGCTGTTTAAAAGGACAGAGCTCGGGCTCACCACCTCCACCTAGTGGTCGATCCTTGAGTGAGGTTTAGGGAGCTCGTCCTGGGATCCGCCTGCCTGACACTCAGCTTGGTATTTGAAAGTGACTTTTAAAAATGCACATAATACGAGTGCAAGTTCCTTTTACTACTCTGCCGAATTTCCTCCAAAGAGCAATTACAAGTTTTAAAGTGTTAATGGCATGTTATGTCAACATCAGGCGGCATCCACGGATGAAAATCCAAATCCAAGTTCCAGCTCTTGCCACATTAAAGCATTAAAAATGGCATCCTGATCGCTTATCTTTTTTTTTTTTGGAAGATAAGTGATAGGATTTATATGTTTATTGTCAAAAAGGCAATTTTTCTTTCGGCTCAGCGTTAGCCATCCTAAGCTTGTGCTCTTGCTCACAAGTCACCTGATTATTGTGTCACGCAGACCAAAAAAAAAAAAACTTTGCTTTTCAAATAATCAGGTTGAGTGCATAGAACCAGGTCTTGGGAGAGGATTTCCTCTGTGTGTGTGTGGGGGGGGGGGTAACTGAGTGAGTGGAGCAGAGTTCCTTTGGGGGGGTCAGGGGTGACCTGTGGGAGCAAGAGACTCAAACCCCCCTGACCACCGAGGAGGCTCTGAACTGGAAGGCACCAGGCGCATGGGAGACAGGAACGAGGCTGGGGACATCAGCCTCAGGCCTCCGTCGCTGCTGGTGACCAAAGGCAGGTGAGGCCATCCCCAGGCCTCCGTCGCTGCCGGTGACCAAAGGCAGGTGAGGGCAAAGGCTCGGGTGCAGGCAGGAGAGTAAAGTCAAGTCCAGACAGGAGAGTAAAGTCAAGGTCCACACGTAATGGTCGCTCTCAGACTCCTGACTCCGCCCCCCCCCCCCAGCCGGGCACTGTTCACAGGCAAAACCTCCGAGGACTCTCCTTTGAAAAAAATTGTTTCACTATTAAGAAAAGACCTATGGACAATACCGATATTTGGGATCCTTCAAACAAACAAAAAAATCAGGCTTACTATCTGATGGACCCACATTGCAGCCCAGCAGTGGACAAAGCCCCAAACCTCCCACAAAGCTTTCAATGGGCATTTGAGGAATGCAAGACCAACTCCACAAACCGAAATAAGAAGAATGGAACTTTTTAAAAAGAGATCCCATATTTATTTACAGGAAGGTCTTGTTAAAAAGGAAAGAGCTTTTTCAAAATTACACACACACACACGCACACACACACACACATCCATGACTGAAATTTTAATTTAAAAAAATTCAAGAAAAGGTTTGGAAGTAAAGGTCAAGAATATCTCCCACTTACTGAAATCAGAAGTGAAAGGGGGACATTTGTACCAAGTCTGCAGAAGTAAAAAATATTACGAGAGTACCGTGAACGATTGCACCCCGACAAATTGAATAACCTAGGCGAAACAGACAAATGCCTAGAAACATAGAACCTACCGAGACTAAATCACAAAGAAATTTAAAAATCTGAATTAAACTATAACTAGCAATGAGATTGAGTCAGGAATCAAAAATATCCCAACAAAGAAAAACCTGGGACCAGATAGATGGCTTCCCCGATGAATTCTACCAAACATTTTCAAGGTGAATTGATAGCAACCCTTGTCAAATTTTCCAAATTTTGAAGAGGCAGGGACATTTCCAACTCATTCTATGAGGCCAGTTTAAAAGCCATGTGACATTTTATGTCTTTGAAGGTCACGCAGCAACTATCTCTACCCCCCGCCCCCCAGTTTGGCATTTTTTTTTTTGCCAAGTAGTAACTTTTTTTGGTATTTTCTATTTTTACTATTATTTTTTTTCAATCATCGAATTAATGAAAGATATAAGAATCACATGCTGTGATTAAAAGCCGACCCTCAGGATTCAGCGTCAGAAACTATTCTTCTTCAGAGTCTTTTCAGGACCAACCTACATGCAGACCGTGGGCCGCCACCCCGGCCAACAGTTCCCAGCGTGCTCCAGTCACAAAGAGCCGAAGTCTCATCACAGAAAACCAAGGCACGTACTCAATTCCAGAGCAATCCATGACTGCCCTGCTTTCCTCAGCTCAAGTCCCGCCTTGTCCCTGAAGTCTCCTCTGGTCACCCATCCCCAGGACGTCCCCCAACACGGGGCCCTGGGCTGGGAAATGCCTTCCAGATGCATGTGTGTTGTCTCTGACCCCACCTAAAGCTCCTGGAGAACAAAGGTGCCGTCTCTCACCTTTGCTTCGTGATGGCTGATAAGCTGCAGATGGGAACTGGTAGGGTTCCGGGCACCAGATTTATCTAACTGCACAGAGCCAAGGGTCTCTCTGCAGCTCACAGAGCACGTTGCAAAGGCAGCTCTCAGCTCCGTGCGGAGGATCTGGAAGGGGTGGCTAGGGAAGGGAAGAAAACCTGTGCCAAAGGCCAGGCGTCAACGTAAGAAACGTCCAAACCTGCAGGGAACTTTTACGAGTTTATCTGAGCCAAACTGACGATTGCCGGGAAGCAAAATCTCGGTGGGCTGAGAAAATGCTTGGGAGACGGGCGGTTTTGCAGCTCAGTTTGCACATCGGGATCAGAGGAGGGAGGAGAGGTAAGGAGCGGCACACGGGATCCATTGGTGGTAGATTCAGGAGGCGGAGAAGGCAAAGGGGGGACCCCTGGGGTTGGATGAAAAGGAAGAGGGAGAGGCGCACACTTCTTCCCCGCGGCGGCTACGGGACGGTCCATACGTCGCGTCCGCGGCACAGAGAGATGGCGTGCGGCAAACGGGATGACGGTGACGGCTCCGCGGTCTCCTCTGGCGCCGTGGTGTGCCTGAGGGGCCTGGAAAAGGTCCCTCTGACATCCCGGGGTCTGTGATCCTAGATGCAGAAAGACAGGCTCAGTTAAGGGAAGGACGGACCTTCGTCAAGGAAGCTATAGTTCTAGGCTATAGCCGTGACTACCTGCCACGGCCGCTTTCAGTTAGGAACTTGCATGTTTAGACCACCGCGTGTGGCTCCTTTCAGTCTCTGGCTCCTCACTGGCCTTACGAGTGTCACCACACCGCTCTGCCATGCCCGAAGGCTCCCGACAACCCCACGTGAGACTTGGAGTCTATTGCCACCAAGAATGGGACATGCAGGGTTGAGACTGGACATGTGGGCCGGCGATGGAGGTTGTGGGAACCCAGAGTTGTCTCAAAAAATGACTCCTTCCTTCTCAGAGTGGCTCTGGATGCCGGGGAGGGACCAAACGACTCTCCCAGGTCGCCTCTGGTTTGAGGGTGTCTGTATTTCTGGGAGGAATTTCCTGAAATGGGTGTCTCAGGACACTGGGGTCTGGTCACCCAGGAGGGGCCTAAGACAAGGGTAGCCCTGGCTGGAGGCAGGGTGTGGGGCAGGACAGTGCCATTTCCCAGAAGTCGGCTAAGATCTCTGGGTGCTTGGGGAGGGGCGGGGAAGGCGGGGGGAGGGTGGCCTCGCTTCACTTTTCCATGCCGCCTGGGCCAGCCCGCTGAGCCGCCTGTCTGCCAGGGCCGGGGTCAGGGCCGGGATCAGAGTCGGGGTCAGGCAACGGGACGAGGAGGGGCTGCGGAGGGTGGGATGGGGAAAGAAGGCTCAGGAGGGCGTGCTGCCAGGGAGGCGGGGCCTAACCGAGTGGGGAGGAGCCTTGGACAGTGCTGGGGGCTGGAGGGGGCCCAGGAGGTGGGAAGGGGAGGAGATGGGGCCGACCGACTGGAGGGAGGGAGGGCGGGTGGCAGGGGGACCGGGAAGAGGCGAACAGTCTGGCCAAGTCACGCTAGGAAGTCAGGAGAGACCCCAAGGCCCAAGAGAGGAGGTGAGGAGCGGGGAGCGGTCGGGGCGGCGACTGGACTGGATGGGAGGAGGGGGGCGGCCAGAGGGGACCCTGCCAGGATGGAACCGGCAGCCCGTCCCTGAGCTGTCGCTTTAAGGCGACACCCCGGTATCTCCCCCCCAGGCGGTCCCGGTTTCCCTCTCTGTGGCTTCTGGGTTCTCAGGTCCTTTCCAGGGTTCTCTGGGGGGCTCGACCCCCGGGCAATCCCAATGATAGGCTGGAGGACAGGGTCCCAAGGGCGGGGCGGTAGCTGGTGTGGAAGGCCCAGAAAACAGGCAAGGGAGGGAGGGTCTGCCCGAAGAAGAAAGCCACGCCCGGGGCCCAGGCGAGACCCCCATTTCTGGGTCGGGGGTGCGCCCATGGCAACCGGAAGCCCCAGCGCTGGGAGGGTTAAGCATCCTCCTGGTTCCCACTCGGCCCCGGCCCCTCCCACGTGTTTACGTCCTTCCAAAAATATTCGGCCTCCAGCTGCCTCCTTCCCATGCCCCAGTCCACGACCCCACAGTGATCCTGGGAGGAGGGGTCATGAGGGCCAGAGGCCAGGACCTGGGAGCCAGCAGACTGCCCTGTGAAGGGCAAGCAGCTGGAGGGGCTGAGGCGGAGGGAAGCGGAGGAGCTCTCGGGGCAGATGGGCAGTTGGCGCGGGGGGCGGGGTGGGGGGCCAGGAGGTGGGCGACAGGACTGCCTCCCTGGCTTTTGGCCGAGGACAAAAGCTGACTCAGTACCTACTCCGGACTGGGCTGAGCTGGACCCAGGGAACCATGGGAGGCGGGGCGGGGAGGAGAGAAAGACTGGGGAATACCAGGAGACTCTCAGCCAAAGGCCACTTCCTGTCCCTCGACCTCTGCCCAGAGCTCCGCCAGCCGTGGCCCCCAGTGCAGGGCCAGGGTGTGGTGGCTCCACTGGCTGGCATGAAGAGCTGAAGACCATACACACCCTTTGCAGGACCAGGGTGACTGAGGCGAACCCATGTGGCGGCTGCTGAGCCTGCTGGCCCTATGGCTGGGCACGGTGGCCTTGAGCAGGGCTGAGCTCACCACAGCCCAGCGCCAGGGCCTGCAGGTGGCCCTGGAGGAATTCCACAAGCACCCGCGTGTGCAGTGGGCCTTCCAGAAGACCAGTGTGGACAGTGCCATGGACATGGTCAGCAGCACGACCCACGGCGGGAGGGGGTCAGGGCCACACTCCCAAGAGACCAGCACGTTCCCAGGAAGCGGGTGCAAAGTGCTTTGGGCTCCGTGAGCACCCAGCTCCCTGGAGAAAGGCCACCACCCCGGCCACCAAGTCGGGTGCGCTGCTCCGCTGTGGGGAGGAGGGGCAGGTGCCATCCTGCTCAGCCCACCTAGCGGGCTGCTGGCCTTCCTCTGTCTCTGTCGGTAGCCCTTCCCGGCGGGGACATTTGTGAGGCTGGAGTTCAGGCTGCAGCAGACGAGCTGCTGGAAGAGAGACTGGAAGAAAGCAGAGTGCAAAGTCAAGCCCAACGGGGTGAGTAACGGCGTGTGCGTGCGCGTGTGCGTGTGCGTGTGCCGGAGCACTTGCTGGGTGAGAGTGCGTGTAACCGGGGTTTGGGCGGAGATCCAACAAGAAGCCCTGAGGTCACAGAGCCACCGTGGAGGCCGTGGCTGTGACGGTGCGGTTGGCCTGGGTCTGGATAGGCGGGGGACGACGTCCATCCCAGGTCCTCTCCCAGGCTTCAGGTCCCTGGGGGAAGCGTGTGATCCGGGGGTGGTCGTGCCCCCGGGCCTGGTGAATTGTTTCCTGTGAGTCTGAGTGGAGATGGCCCCGCCTGCGCTGAGCCGTAACAGGGCTTGACTGTAACCAGCTGCCTTGGGAGGTCCCCGGGCTTGAAGCGCAGCCATCTGGGTTCCAGACCCGGCTCCGCCGAGAGCCGGCCCTGTGGCTTGGTAGGTTCTCTGAAGGCCTCGGTTCCCACCATCTGTTAAAGGAAGGCTGGGTCATACCAGTGGTTTTCCAGACTTTCGTGTCGGAACCCTGTGTTCAAATTAAATCTTACAAGAAAATGCAAATAAACATAATAGATGACAGCAGGGTGGGTCTGGTGCTAAGTCAGGTGGGAGAGACCACCTGGGCAGGATTCCCGCCCCCTGCTAAAGTCCATAGTTTTGAAAACTGCAGGCTGGTTCAACTTCTGAAATCTCCTAGTCGGAGGGTGGGCTGTGCCTGAAACCGGTGGGCCTGCCTCCCCCCCGCCCCCCTGGCTCTAGAGCCTGCGGGGGGAAAGACCCCTTTTGCAGGCAGCCCCCAGCCCTCCCCCCCGCCCCGTCTCCACCCCCACGGGGCTGCAGGCCTCCCCTCAGCCCTTGCCTCTCCTGGCCCTGTGCCCCCCTCTCCAGAGGAAGCGGAAATGCCTGGCCTGCGTCAAGCTGGACCCTGAGTCGAAAGTCCTGGGCCGGGTTGTCCACTGCCCCGTAGAGGCGCAGGCCCAACGGGTAAGAGCGGGCCTAGAACCACAGGTGGCAGGACAGGTGCCAGCTGCTCATGAGGGGTCAGGTGTGAGGCAGAAGCCTGGACGGAAGAGTGAGGAGGGGTGCAGAGGGGTGCGGAGGGTGGAGCAGGGGGTGAGGAAAGGTGAGAAGTGGGGAGGGGCGGGGAGGGGCTGTGGAGGTGGGCGCAGCAGAGGCGGAGGATGAGGCAGCCCTCGCCGGGCACCAGGGCCCCGCTGCTGGGCCTGAGCCGGTCTGGTACTGGCAGGAGCTCACGGAGCACCAGCAGGCACAGTGCAACAGGGTGCAGCAGGCTGGCGAGGACCCCCAGAGCTACTACTTCCCTGGACAATTTGCCTTCTTCAAGGCCCCGCCCCCCAGCTGAGGCCTGACCAGGTAGGCAGCTGGGAGGGGGTGCGGGGGACAGCGGGGAGCAGGGCCGGCCGAGTGGGAAGGGAGGGGAGGGGAGGGACTCCGGCGCCGGGGAAGCTGGGACAAGGACCAAAACAGCCTCCCTCTGGTTTTCCTCTCCCTTTAGAATTTCCTCAGGCTTTCCGGACAGCTGTGGGAAGGAACCAGTGAGAAACAGCCGCCCCTTCCCTGCACCCCGCATCCCCATCACCCCTGAACTAATAAAACTGCTCCCCAAGCTGTGTCCTCTCCTCCCTGTGCATCCCACCGTCTGCCCCTCAGCAGACCTGGCAGGAGGCCACATGAGTGAGCGGCTGGGAATCCCTTACAGGAAGAAGCAAAGCCCCTGGGGCAGCAAGATGCTTCCTGTCGGACAAAAACGGGGGGCGGGCGGGGAAGGGGCCTTGTGTGCTCCTCCTTCCCACAGGAGAGACCTTGCTGTCAGGAGCTCATGCCCAAGTAAAAGGACAGACAGTGATGCACATTAGAACAGAGACGTTTAATAGGGATCAGCATGGGTGAGATGGGCAGCAAAGGCTCCAGGGAGACAGGACCAGGGGGGCCACGGCTGAGTGTCACCCGGACAGGTGGGTTTGGCAGGTGCGTGAATGCAGCTCCCATGCTTTATGCTCTGCCCACGCCCTCTTCCAGGACCCCTGGGATGGGACACATGCCATCCCTGACCTCTACCTTTGACCTTGGGAAGCAGCAGCTTCCTTTCACTAAGTCTCAGGCCAGAGCAGCCAGGAGTGGCAGCAGCTGTGGACGTGGGGCCGGGCCTCCTCCCCAGGCACGCAGCACAGGTGACAGGACAGGTGCCAGCTGCTCACGGAGGGCCCTTACATCTGCTAGAGGCCCCTGGGGAGGTGCTTCCCGAAGAATGTTGAGCGAAGGTACAGAATGTTCCTTGCGGTAGACTGGGAGGGAGGGGCGCTGCTCTCGGGCACAGGGATGAGTGACCGGCCCAGTCTGCGGGGCAGTGACCAGGGTGAACCCCAGAGACACGTGCAGAGGCAGGAGGGAGGAGTGGGCAGCGAGGCCACGCTGTGCTGACCCTACGTCCTCAGGCCAGGCTGTCCCAGGCCAAGAGGCATCTTCAGAAGATGAAGGATGAGGTGGAGCCCGCAGGGCCGAGCGTCTGCTGGGCTTGAGCCAGGCTGTCGCCGGCCTGTTGGTCCAGGTCGTGGCACTCCTGCAGAGTGTGCTGGAACTGCCGGCAGGCCTCCTCCACGATGGAGCTGCTCCGGGTGGGCCAGAGCTCCCAGTACCCGGGCCCCACCCAGGGCTGGGCCTCAGCGGCGCCGGGGTCCGGGCTGGAGCTGGGCCGCGAGGAGCTGTCCAGGTCCCGGCACAGCTGGTAGAACTCACTGCCGCGCCCAGTCACACGCTCACCGTCAACGACCTTCAGGCCGGGCAGCAGCTCTCGGACTGCCGCCCAGTAGGAGGGGCTGGCACAGAGCGGGTTGCTGAGCCGGGCCAAAGGGTCCCGGAGCCGCAGGTACTCCAGGCCCCGCAGCCCGGCCAGGCACTGCAGCTGGCCAGGGGTGGCCAGCAGGTTGCCCGCGGCATTGAGACTCTGCAGGTTCTCACAGGCGGCCAGCGGCTCCAGCCCCGTCAGCCGATTGTTGGCGACATTGAGCACAGCCAGCTGGCGCAGGGAGGCCAGCGGGCCCAGCTGGGTGAGCGCGTTGCCTGACAGGTCCAGCCACTCGAGGCCCAGGCACTCCCCCAGGCAGCCCAGCTCCACCAGCCCCAAGCCCCGCAGCTTCAGCAGCAAGATGGACTCCAGCGCGAACTCGCCCGAGTGCGACTTGAGCAGCTGGGGCGTGATGCTCACCCCGTCGGCCTCCACCGGCTTCTCGCCCTGAGGCTCCATAATGCGGAGTCGGTCTGAGTGGCCTGGGCCTTGACCGTCTGTCACAGGGACACGGGTACCTGGGGGTCGGCTGGCCGCTCACCCCAAAAAAGGCACCATCGACTCTGCCCGGGACAGTTGTCACAGGCCTCTTTCCAACACCCCTGCTCCAGGGCCAGCGGGTCCCTGAGGAGAGACAATTAGACAGTAAGCACGCCCCTCCTGAGCACCTGTGACTCCCAGCAGGTGACAGCACAGCACCCAGCCTCTGCCGCCAGGGCCAGAAGCTCAGGTGGCCCAGCAAGACCAGAGTAGCCAAGTCCAGGACGCAGGAAGACAGAAGGACCCTCGGGAGGTGGGCTGGGCCCAGGCCCCGCTCAGGGTCTTGCCTCAGCGGTGGACGATGGCCAGCACTCAGGCCCAACGGTCTGTCCCTCCCAGTTTGAACATTTGCACCGCAGGCGGGCTCTCCTAATGCTACTTCCTCTGTAACCACTCACGGTCTGTCCTCATCGGTTCTGAGATTTAACATAGTTTCGAATAGACAACAGGTCACCACGATCACCAGTCCCTTTGGAGCCCTCCCGGGGAGAGCCACGCAGACACAAGCAAGAGCAGCACCTGGGCCTCACTCTGGTCATTCGAAAACTTCCCTGACTTGACTTTTTTAAATGTTAGCTGTGAATTCAAAATGGTTTCCAGGTTACATGGGCCCATTTGTAACCTCTGGTCCCTCAGTCGCAAACGAGGAAACTGAGGGAGAGGAAGGGAAGGGACGGCGAAGGCCTGGGGTGAGAGGCAGCGCTGCAGCCCCGCCCTGCCCGCCCGCACTGGCTCGTCACCCTGGTGTCGACGGGACAGCATCAAACCGTACGCCAGGCGGCTTGACTCCAGCTGCAAACATGACATCATTCCCAAAGAAAGCAGGAGGGCTGGGGGCGGTGGGGGGGACTGTCCCGGAGGGAGGGGCAGGGTGGCACCAAAGCTGGCTCCACAAAGGCAGGAGCAGGGGGCCCTTCAAGTCACCAGGGCTTTGGGCCAGCACAAGCCCACGCACCAGTACAGCACCGAGGCGGCCTGGGGGAGGGACGCTGTCGCCCATGGAGGGGTCAAGGCTTCAGCAGAGGGAAAAACAAGAAGGGACCTCTGCTCCAAGTGGCAGCTCCCCAACTCTGCAGACTCCGGTCAGCCCAGGCCAGGCAGAAGGACGCCTGCAAAGAACCAAGGGACCATTCGCTCCTGCTGACAAAACCTGGTCCTCCCGCGTGTTCGGGTTCCAAGTCTGCGTTACATAATCAGGGCCACGTTGTGTTTCCCCTTCTCCAAGGAAACCAGGCCCAGAGCTCCTCCCACACCCCCGCCGGGGAGTGGGGGACGCTGCTAACAGCTGACCGAGAAGGGGGTCCCTACGTCTCTACCTAGCTGCCCTCCAGTCTGCAACACTCCACCCAGCAAGTTCTTCTCATTTCAACCTCGTTTCTTTCCAGAAGGGACTGGTGGCATCGACGACGAAGTCTGGTTCACTCCAGGCAGACGGGCTCTGCTGGGGTCTGTCGTGGGAGTGGTGCAGTCACCTGTGCACCTGGTCAGAAGTGCTCTGGCCCAGAGGGCGGGGTGCTCAAGGGGCACTAGACACCTGCCACAAAGGTGCTAGCAAGGCGAGGACCCCTCCGAGGGCAGTGGAGCCACGCACAGCAGGGAGGGCAGTGCCCACGACTGCAGGGATCTGGCCACGTGACCTGATGCCCCCGAGCCAGCCAAGCCAGAGCCCGGTTCAGGCACAGCAGGTTTGACCCAGAGCAGTCTCAGGGCGACGGTCGTCTGGCCGCTTCGGTGAACCGGGGAGCCCTCCTCCGCCCACTTCCTCCCGGCCCCCACCTAGAGCAGGCCGCGGCGCTGCCCGTGGGAGCCCGCATGTCGCTGTTGGGGGGCCCGCTGGAGCACTGCAGCAGTCAGCAGCTTCCCTGCTCCTACCTATAGCTGTGACAACCAAAATGTCTCCAGACATTGCCAAATATCCCCTGGGGACAAAAATGCCCCCAGCTGAGGACCACTGCTGCCCCCAAGCTTGGGACTGTCCCTTCTGTTTCGTCCTCTTCCCTTCCCTCCCCCCGGCTCCCTCGGTGCACCCCACCCCTGCTGTCCCTCCAGCCCAGCCTCCCCCCTCCTCGAACACTGGGAGCCAGCGCAGTGATGCAGGACAGCACAGGACAGCACAGGACGTGCTTCTCCCGAGGACAGCCGAGGGCAACGTGAGGGCGCGTCACCACCTCGCCCCCCAGCAGACCCACTGAACCAGAATCTGGGAGGCACGGGACCCCCCGGTTGTATGACGCTCAGATGATCCTCATTAAAGACTAGGCCCAGGTACGTTTGAGGGAGGGGGGCAGGCAGCGCTCCTGGGCTGGGTCCAGGGCCACGCCCTGACCTTGCTACCCAAGTGCACTTTACAGTCTGGGCTGGTAAGGGTGCGGCCACTGACCCGGCCCTCCCCCAGACAAGCCTCACCTCCCGCCACAGGGGAGTCTGTGAACACACCCCTCCCCTCCCAACAGCTGGCAGAGATAAGTGGGTAAAGCAATTTGGAGGCCGGAGTCTAATTCAAACCACGCTACTCCAAGCATCAGATACGCTCTTCACAAAGCTTTATTTAAGGAGGTGCAGTTGCCACTCTGCTGAACTGAAAACGCAGGATGCTCACGGGTGCAGAGGGCGGATCCCAAGGTAGAGAGAGCAGGTATGCCACCCCGTTAACGAGCAGGTATGCCACCCCGTTAACGAGCAGGTATGGCACCACGTTAACGAGCAGGTGAAAAGGATTACGGCTAATTTTCCCTGCTCCCTGACATTCTCAGTAACTTCCCGATGTCCTGGCGCATCAGTCCCAGTGACGCATGCGGCATCACGTTAACGAGCAGGTACGGCACCACGTTAACGAGCAGGTATGGCACCACGTCAACGAGCAGGTATGGCACCACGTTAACGAGCAGGTATGGCACCACATTAACAAGCAGGTATGTCACCACGTTAACGAGCAGGTATGGCATCACGTTAACGAGCAGGTATGCCACCACGTCAACGAGCAGGTACGCACCACGTCAACGAGCAGGTATGGCACCACGTTAACGGAGACTGGAAAAGGATTACGGCTAATTTTCCCTGCTCCCTGACATTCTCAGTAACTTCCCGATGTCCTGGCGCATCAGTCCCAGTGACGCATGACTGACCACCCCTCAGGGGAGGCGGGGGGGAGGGGCTCACCCCCACAGCCAGGGGCGAAGTGCAAGCTAGGCCTTGAGTGCCTCACCCTGCCTCTCAGAGCCACATTTCCTAGTGACCCAGCACCTCAGGAGAGCCAGCCTCATGTCCTGTGGGGTGTGACAAGCCAGCCCCAGCAGTCCTCCCCCGACTTGGGATCCTGCACTCAGGTCTCGCGCCCTCCCCGACAGAACTTAGGGCAGTCCGTCCCTGGTCGGTCTGATACACGGCCTTTCTCGCTTCCAGGGACAAGGGGAGGTGTGGGCGCTGCAGGTGGCACAGACGCTCAGCCGCCCAGAGTCTGGGTGAGTGTGGAAGCTCTCTCCGAGACTGCTTTCCCCGTAGAAGCTCCCAGGTCCCCGCAGTCTGGAACTAACTCCAGGTCAGGCCGTTGCAGGCCCAAGCGTCTCAGCGCTCCCCAGTTCCCACCCCTTGGCTGGCTGGCCGGTCCCTTCCACCAGGGTCCTTCGGCCACTACGGGATCTGAGATCCACGGGCGAGTACAGACCCCAAGAAGACGGACACGTACGTGTGTGCGCATCTTACGATGGCTACTCTACCTCAGGCTTTCTTCCTGCAGGGAAAGCAGTTTCAGAGAGAGCTGTCACAGCTCGCCCGGGTTCCAGGTGGCCGCGTCCGTAGCCCACTGAGCACATGCCAGCACCCACACCTCCCCCGTCCCTGTGCCTTGAGAAAGCAGAACTCTTAAGGGCACGAGTCCCTTTGCACACAGACAAGCTGCACATATGGCCCTCAAGTCCCGCCGATGTTCCAGAGGAGCGTCCCTGCTTATGGAACGGGCGGCGCAGCCAGCCACCGCCAGCGAGCCTCCTGTGCACACGCAATGCCAGGAACGAATCACGTTAACAGGTGAAAACGACATCTCCCTGAGAGAAAAAAAGGTAACCTGCCGAGGCGTGAGGAAATTCCCCGCTCTTTCCAGATTCCAGACTCTGGCCGTGCTGCCTGCAACACTCAGCCCCCTCCCCCCACCTACGGCGGGGCTCCTCCGGGCAGGCCAGGAGGGCGGCGGATTGTGGCGGCGGGCCCCCCGGCCTGCTCGCTCTCAGCCAGGTCCCCGCTGGGGCACACAAGGGGCGGGGGCGCGTAGCTGGGGAAAGTCTCCAGGTTGGCCTTCAGGAAGAGGAGACACTCCACTGTCTCCACCGGGAGAGGGGGGCTGTGCTCCACCACGGTGGGGCTGTCCAGGGCGGCAAGGACGCTTCCGGAGAAGGCGCTGGTGGCAGGGCAGGACAGATAGACAGTGGCCAGTCTTGCCAGGGCTGGCCAGACTTCCCGCCTCCTCTCCCAGTAAGCCAGGGGGTCCTCCAGGGCGCCAACTGTCTGGTTCTCACGCAGGTACTTCTTGACGATGACGCTGGCCAGGTGGCTCTCGGTGGACAGCGAGGCTCCGCTCCCCGGGGACGCCAGCAGCCCCACGCTCTGCAGCTGCTCCAGCAAGCTCTTCTCCCCACGGTCCAGCAGCGGGGGCCCAGGGCTGCCGCCTCCCTGCACGGGCTCCTTCCGGCCCCTCACCTCAGACCCGGGGCCTCTGGCTATTCTGCCACTCGGGGTGGCGTCCACACACACGGCCTTGGGTCTCTCCAGTAAGGGCGAGGGAGGCAAGGAGTAGTCCGACACCATAATCTCCTTCACCTTGTACACGAGCACCTGCTTCCAGTGGTCGATGTCGGCCCCCGCGGGCAGGATGGCCTCGATCCGGCCCTTGAAGCGCGGATCCAGGAGCGTGGCCAGCACCAGCTCCTCGCGGTGGAAGAGCTCGTTGAGCTGGCAGTCTGTGGACAGCTGCAGGGCCAAGCCCTCGGCCAGCCGGACGGCCGCGCCCGCCTCCCCGCCCCTCTGCTCCTCGAAGAGTCTGTGAGCCTGCTCCAGGAAGATGTGCAGGTAGCGCAGCTGGGGCAGCACCTGGCTCAGAGGGGCCTGCCCCACGCTCGCCTCCCGGACCGCCACCTGGAAGGGCTGCAGGAGCTTGACCAGGCTGTCTGTCAGGCTCCAGAACGTGGCCGACAGGGCCATGCCGGCCCTCCCCAGCTGCTGCCTGTCCTCGTACTCCTGCAGGGCCCGCCGCTGCTCCACCAGCCACGCCAGCAGGCGGTAGGCCGAGCCCCAGTGGTCCGAGAGTTCCCAAAGGGGCTGGTGGGCTGGGAGGCCACACTGCCGCTGCATCTGTGCCAGGAGCCGCCGGGCCTCCGCAGAGCCTTCGAAGTGACTGCAGATGGCCTTGGCTGTGCCCAGGATGATCTGGACACTGTGATGGTGACACAGGAAGTTCTTCACCAGGGAGTTGAGGCAATGGGCAAAGCAAGGGACGTGAGTGTAGCCCTCCGACCTCGCCGCCTGCTCCAGACTGGGGCAGCCGCCCGACACCAGGAAGCCTGGCCGCAGGGAGCCCAGGCCCAGCCACAGGCTGACCTGCTCACGCAGTGCCCGCGGCCAGTCCTCCGAAGCGCTCCCCAGCGGCAGGCCGCGGACCCACAGCACTGCTCGCTTCCTCGGGCTCCCCGATACTGGCTGCTGGCCGCCTGGCTGTATCACCCCCCAGTGGGCAGTCACAGCCACATAGTCCTCCGCGACCATGTCCTGGGCTGCCATGGACACGGTGAGGTGGACGCGGCCACCCTCAGCCCATTGCATCTCCCGACGCACCTGTTCGCCCATCACCTCGCGAAGCAGAGGCAAGGCTTCGTCAGAGAAGAAGGCTGGGGACGGCAGGTGGTAGCCAGGGTCGACCTGGGCCATAAACCTCCTGAAGGGTGGGGATGCAAGAAAGGACAGGGGCAATGCCAGGCTGCAGAGTAACTCTGCAATGCTCCGGTTCCAGGCCTGGGAGCGGGGCTGGCTGGGAGTATGCCCGTCACCTTGGTCCTCCGAGACCGCCACGGCAGCAGGTTCGCCTTTGATGAGAGTAGGCAGGGGTGGAGCCAGTAACAGCTGCTCACGCCTGCCCGGGGCCCGCTGCCCATCACTGTCTTCTGAGGACGCAGCATATGCGCAGCGTCCTGGTGACGGGAGCCCTTCATGGACACAGCTGGTGGCACCTGCGGGCAGGCCCTTCTGCGTTCCCTCCTCCACTCCGCCCCGCTTCTCTCCAGGGCTGGCCGCAGTGGGCTTTCTTTCCCTCTCCAGCCCATGCTTACTCACCAAGTGATGGACTAGGCCTGAGCTCGGGGACTGCCCCTTAATTTTGCCCTGTTTGATGCTGGTGTGACACAGAGTGCAGGTGACCCGGCAAACGTTCTTGCAATCGACGGTAAAGAAACGTCTGACATCCAACGTAGGTTTCTGATCTACGGTGTCCCAAGAGCCCAGGGGACGCCCGGGAGAAGCCCAGCCCTTGGTCTCAGCTTTTATAGTTCTGATCAGCTTCTTCAAGCCAGGCGGCTTCTGGAGGCTCCGCAGGGGCGACGTCCCCACACCAGGAAGCAAATGCCTCTTCTTCCACTTCTTAAGGCGTCGCACCTCTCTGTCCAGACGGGCTATGAGGATGTCGGCTTGCCTGGCTTCCTCATTCTCACTGGGCTGGCCCATCTCTGACCCGTCCAGGTTGTTCGCCTGGACCAGCGCTGGGGAAGGGCCTGGGGCAGAGATGAGCACCGGGTCCCTTGACTTCTTTCTCGCCGGCTGCCCCACCTCTCTGCGTCCACGCGCCTTCTGCTTGGACACCTTCTTCTCAGGCTGCACAGGGGGCTCCTGCCCAAGCACGGATTTGAGGCCACAGAGTTCAGAGTCTCCTTTTGGCTTATTCTGCCCCGGGCCGGCCTGGTACTTTGCATGGGAGGCAGCTGGGTGAAGACCAGGCCTCCCCAGGCAGTGGGCTCTCTTCTTCTCGCTGCAGACTCGAAGGCACGGGGCACCTTCTTCCTGCTCCTCCAGGAACACCTGGCCAGGTGAGGGGATGGAGGGGCCACTGGGGAGGGGACGAGGTCTCTTCCTTTGCAGGGATGGGCCCCTCTCACTCCCCTCTTGGGAGCCGGAGGGGCTGATCTTCCCGGGGTCACTGCCGGCCTTCTCCTCTATGTCTACAAACTCGCATTTGACCTCGGTCTCCAGCAGGCGCCCCCTGGCCCCCCAGCCAAGTCCATGAGAGGTATTGGTAGCTCTGGTGTTGAACTCGGAGCCGGGAGAAGCCGTTGTGGCAGCTGGACTCTTGGGTCTGGTCATGGGGGAGTCAGGTCCCGAGGGTGCATGTCTCCTGGGGGGCTTTCTGATTTTTTCTACTTCCAACATGCTTGGGAACATGGGGAAATGAGAAGATGGGCCCAGGCTGCAAAGCAAGATGAAAAGAACGGCTCTCAGCTGCCCTTCTCAACTTCGGGGGGCTCTGAGGGGGAAGGCGAGGCCCAGAGGGGAGAGGAGACAGCAGAGGACGAAAGGTGTGGAGACCACGGACACCAGCCCCGCCCCCCTTGGCGAAGGCGGCCGTTCGCGCCTCAGACGGGACGGACGGCCCTCAGCCGCGGTCCCCACCACCCCCTGCACGTCGGCTGTGTGCATCTCCTTTGCCAAACTAACTAACGTTTCTCTTGTTTCTCTCTGTGTTTACTAAGAACCCAGTGCACAGCTGGACACAGTACAAAACAGGCACGGCCACCGGGAACACACAACCTCCAGGCTGGCGGGAGGGACAGATGTGAACGAAAGGCTCACTCATGACACGCAGAAGCGGAGCCACGGCGCAGGCAGGAAGGAGCAGGCGCGAGGCCGGGAGAGCCCGGGGGGCGGTGGCACCGACCTCGCCAAGAAGTCGGGTGGCGGTTTTTCCTGGAAGAGATGCGGGCACTCGGAGCTGTGAATGCAGGCCACGAGGAGGCCTCTAGGGCTCTGCACCCCAAAGACCTGGCTATTCCTGGTACCCGGCGGGGCGCCGTAAATAGTAACAGCTCAGCATTCAGGGAGCGATGCAGCCTGAGGCTTCGTTGGCCAGCGGCCTGGCTTAGGTCCTCGACATTGTTTTTCTAGAAGTCAGTCTCCGGCAGAGAACACAGGACAGGTGTTCTCTAATGCCAATGACTCCAGCCCCCAAGTGTCCTGTCACGGAGGGTCCCGATGGGCTGGTTATCCTCTCTCACCTCCCGATCCCCTAGAAACCCGCGCCTGTCCGACGCTGGCCCCCACGGCTCCCGCTCACGGCTGCATTTACACACTGCCTACTGCCCGGCCTCTGCCCGGCTCACCTGCCCGGCTCACCTGCCCTTCCTACAGCCAACTCAACTTCGGCCAGCGGGACACACCAGAAGCTCAGACCCTGAACCGAGGCATAATCCTTAACTCCCCTCCCCTCGCTCATCTCCCTGGAGATTAGCTCAATTTCGGGGCTCTCAAAAGAGACAGAAAGAAGTCAGAAGAGAAATACGCGAAGGGAAGAAAGGAAAACGGAAGGGCAGGTGAAGCCCAGCCAGCGAGGAGGCATTTCCTGGGCAAGAGGAGGTTTGGAGGAGGGCGGCAGAATAATCCCACCACAGAGCAGACAGGAAGTAGGTATCCTCTCTTCAGACCAGAACGAGATCAAGGTTTAAGAAGATTTAAAACCAGTACATTCTGACACTGTGTGATGCTAAACGTGAAGAAGGACCGCCAGAAATAGGGCTGCCTTTGGGGTGACAAGCCCGCTGAGGCAGCTCATGTGAGACCCTGCGCAGGGAGGCGTGCGGGCAACGTGACGGGCTCCTTCCAGCTGGGAGAGCCTCGGAGGACGAAGAGGCAGTCAGCCACCTCACACCCATCAGTCTAGAACTGTCGGCCACCCCCAAACCAAATGTCGGAAGCCCCACAGGAGGGGACGCAGCGCGGGGGCTGGGTAAAGGTGCAAACGAAATGCAAGACACGGTCCTGGTCCCCGGAGAAGTGCTGCAGGACAGCAGAACTGGAGGGGACTTACCTCGGCTCTTATTTTATGACTGAAGAAGAAGAAAGCCACCGTGGTCGCGTGATGGTCAGCGGCAGAGCAGAAGGCCAGAGCTGGCGCCGGGCCTCCAGAAGCAGTTTGCAGGCTTCAGAACCAGGACCAAGGACTCGGAACCAGGTACGGAACCCAGGCCTGTGTATGACCTGCCCTCGCTGATGATGGCAGAGAAAAGGAAGAAACTGCGTGTTAGGGCTGCAGCCTGGGTCACGTCGATGGCCTCTGTTCCCCATCGCTGTCCCATTAGCACGGACCTGTATCCTGCAGATGCTCTTGATCTACTCGACCATTTAGCGAGAATTCATCACATGGCTACCAGGAGTCGTCAGCAAAGATACGAATGCAGGAGGGTAACTGCTCGGCTGCCACTCGGGGCCTAGGACGAGAAGACGCCCTGGGAACGGGCTAATGGTCCAGAGCAGGGCAAGTGGCGGAAGGTGTGCGGAGGCCAACCCAGATGTGAATCGAGTCTGTGACCACGGAATTTAGTTAGACTCTGTCGTAAGGGGTTGCTTGCCTTAGGCGGCTGCTTCAGGACCCGTAACTCCTGACAGACTGCGGGACAGATCTGGGATCCTGGGCAAACTCTGGCGGCAACAAGAATGCCACCTTTCTCTTGCACCGAAGCACATCGGGATGACAGCGAGGCTGACGCTGTGGAGAGCCAACGCTGAATCTCAGTGACAGAAACTATAACATTTAAAGAGAAAGTCATCCACAAACAAGGAACTTTGATTATTAGTAGGAAGCTACTTGTGACACTTCTCACAACAGATGACGAACATACATTTGAGGACAACTAACACAAGGACGCATTCGAAAGGACACCGCAGTGGGGCCACAGAGGCAGGCCCAGCGGGCAGGCAGGAAGGGCTGGAGCAGGCAACTGGAGCGGGGCGGACCGTCTGGAAAGCTGCTCAGGAGGCAGGTTACGTGGAGCTGAGAGGCGGAGGGCGGGGAAGGGATACAGAGGGCCCCCCCAGCGATCCCATTTACAATACTGTTAGGTTTTGGATATACTGACTTTGAGGTTCTTCTGGAACAAATCATCACGAGTAAATGTGACAGATACACGGGTCAGGGGACAGAGGTCTGAGCCAAAGATACAGACCCACGCCAAAGTTTCCGCAGAAACTGAGGGAAAACGCCAGAGGAAGAAGAGAGTGGAGGGTGGTTGCCAGGCAGGGCTCATACTGTGGGGAGGGTGGAGGATGGGCAGACTTCAAAGATGCCGGGCAGGCAAAAGGGGACACACAGAAAAACCTAAAGTGATGTTAGGGAAGCCAAGAGACTTTTCAGAAAGGACAACAGGGTCAAGGGTCACATAGTGGATGAAGAAGGTGGCGCCTGGGGCTATGCAGTGAGAAGTGGGGGAGGCAGAGGTGGGGACGGGAGGGTCACGCTTTGGGATGGGAGGGAAAAGGCGTGGCTATGTCTTTACATGGAAAAGGTGCAGCGGAAAGACAGGTGAGGAACTGATGGCAGGGGCCTCCTGAGGGAAGGGCCCCAGGGCACAGGTGGGTGGCGCGTTTATCCTCCGTGATGAGAAAGAACCTATTTTTTATGATAGAGCAAAGAAGGAAGGATGGCCGTGGGGACAGGAAAGTCTGAGTGTGGGGAGGGGAAGGAACTGAGGCAGTTTATGCCCAGGAGCCGACGGATTCCCAAGGGGAAGCCATACACAGGCAGCAACCTACTGGCCGGGCCTGGGATGGGAGGTGCCTCAGCACCTGCCTGAGTGGGGGCTCCATGGCTTAGACGTTCTTCTGACCACATTACCAGCCCTTTTCTGTGCATGGCCAAAAGGGGTCACTTACCCATTTCTCCGGTGCCTAACGCACCTCAGGGCCTTGTGCCAAGCTCCGCCCAGCCTGGGCATTTGATAACTATGCTAGACCTTTCTCTGAGTTTTCACTCTGCTCAGTCCCACCGGCCCCCTCCTCTCTCGCCTCCTGCGCAGGGGGATATAGGGGTGTCTAGCTGTGCCCCAGACCCCAAGGGATTTCAAAGCACTTACCAGGCCCCCAAGCCCTGGGCTTCTCATCCCCCCACCCATCACCTGTGAGGAGATGGAAAGATGGGAGGACTATGTGGAAGGAAGAGTATAGCAAATCATGATGTATTTTTCGGTTTTGTCGCACATGCAAATTTGGCTACCTGCGAATTCTAAGAAAGATGTTTTAAATGATAATCATGCCTCATTAGAATTCACATTTCACGGAAATGACTTAAAATGAGAACCGTTTTAAACCACGCACCAGCAGAAAACAGAATCTTTTGCTCTCTTTGGCGAGGCTGCTTTCTCTAATGGATTGAGAACCTGAGCCAGTCTACTTGGGTTTAAATCCTGGCTGCTACCCGCCAGCTGTGATTGCGGTTTTTCTCATCTATACAACAGGGTTAATAGCACCCACCTCAAAGGCTTGTTAAGGATTAGGTGGGTTAATGTATACAACAGAGCAAGTGATGGATGCGAGCCACTGTCCAGGACATTCTGGCCTCACCTGGCGTATTCTGGCCCCGCCTGGCGTGTTTCAGGAGCGTGGAAGGGGCGGCCAGCCTAGGAGGGGGCCTGTCCAATGGGCGGAGCAGGTCAGGGCAAGCGGCCTCCGCCCCCCAGCCTTAGCGTCCACCTCTGCGAAGTGGGATCGCAATGCCCCGACCCCGCCTTACCTAAGGCGAGGGGTCCGGGATGGGGCCGGCGGTCCGCTGAGACCTGGCTGGTGAAGCCGTGAAGCCGGGCGCGGAGGCCACGGCCACAAACCGAGCGCCCGCTGCGGGTTGCGAAGGGCGGACGTAAGCGCCGCTGCAAAGGCCGCTGGAAGGCGCCAAGGCCCCAGCAGAGCCTCGGGGGGCTTCGGCTTCTGGGTCGCGCATGAAGTTATTTCCAGGAGCCCGAGGGCCTCCGCGACCACCCCCGCCTCGTGGTTGGTACATTCCCCGAGCCCGCGGCCGGCACCGAGTGCGCACGCGCGGGCGTCAGCTCAGCGACCGGAAGTGATGGCATCGCTCCGCCTCTGCGCCGGAAGTCGCGCTCTGTTCTGTTACCCCTACTCCTCGCAACTTGTATAATGGTGTTGGTTAGTGGTGTCGCCCTGAAGAATGCAGTCACACGCGTTCCCGGCGGGCAGTGGACTAGTTTTCCTCCTACCCTAACCGATCCCCAAATCCCCTTCCGTCTCGGGCTGTCTCCGCGGCGGGATTCTGACCGCCCAAATGCGACCTGCGTCTCGTGCGCACGTGTAGGCAGAAGTGACCACAATAATGCTAGTGACCCACACATCAGGGTTTTCCTGGCTTGAGGTCTCACCCTGTTGTGGCCTGTATAGAATAGACCAAACCAAATATGCTCTCAAAGGCTGTCTATTAGCCGGCAGCTGTCCTGTACAAAGGAGCATGCCAAGATACAAGGATTTTAAGCCCTAAATCCCATTCTTCATTCTATCTTAAACACAAAAGTCTATTTCGCTCCTATTCACTACCTGTCAACTCACTGGTCAGGTATGCAAGCGGGGAGTACAGAAGCAGAAAGCTTGTTGTTAGAATGTTATGTTCCTATGAGTGATTGCCTACGTCCCCATGGGCAATAGCCAGTATTCTCATGGGCGATGGCCAAACAGTAATTTTCAGCTTATATACAGTTGATTATGTTTCATGCCACGCAAGCAAACAGGGTTACACAGGCTAAAATTGGCAGTTAGCGTATGAGCTCATTGTTACAAGTTTTATGATTAACAGAATGTAGTTAGAGGTTCCAGAAACTAGGCCTAAGGTATAGACTTCCTTGTCCAGTTTCAGGTTTTAATTATCCTTTAACCCTTTCACGTTTCAGCAGGCTATCACAACCCAGCACTTCAGTTTCAGGATCCCCACCTCAAGATGTTTCCTGGGGCAAATTCCCGCAGTCCGCCGATGCTCAGAGCTCTGCCGCCTCCCCAAACAACTGTCCACAGGCCAAAGGCACCACACAGTGCGCTACGCAGAGAAGGCCTCTCTCTCTCCCCTGTTGTTCCCACCTGGGCACCAAAACGCCCGGCTCTGGTCTCTGCGCTACGCAGAGAAGGCCTCTCTCTCTCCCCCATTGGTCCCACCTGGGCACCAAAACACCTGGCTCTGGTCTCGCAGGCTGCCTTGAGCTGCTTTCCACCTCTAGAGTGAGACAAATTCAAGGGTCTAGGCCAGGGGCACCATCGAGCCTCGAGCATTCCCTGTTCGTCTCTTTTTTCCATCTCCTTCCAGCGCCCTTCCTCTGGACCCAAGCAAATCAGCAACAGGCTGGTCCGATTCTTCAGCTCGGGCTAAAACTAGGACCCCCCTCATCAAAAGTATACATCCTTACACTTTATCAAAGTTATTTTTAATCTTATTTGATTCTCTCCATACCTCAGATATGGAGGTATTGGTTTCTCCATTATACAGTCACACAGCGTGTTAAAGTAGGAGGTAGGAGGAACTACAAATGATTTGTAAGTTGTATTGATATATGGGGTCCCTATATGATGGACACAGAGCTGGTCTCTTTGCAGCGTTAACCCAGAGGCACTGGGGTGCAAAACCAGGAGACACAAAATTACAAACTGAAAAAACCATTATAAACAAAATAATTCAGTAAGGTGGCTGGGTTTAATATTAATATATAGAAATCAAACGACCATTTAGAAAATATAGGAGAAGGAAATATTCGGTTTTGCTAGCAATAAAGATTAAACATCATGGAAAAAGCTTAACAAGAAATGTACAAAATCCATGTGAAAAAAATAAACCTCTAAACACTGAGGACTACAAAAAGAATACCTAAACAAATAAAAAAGCATATCATGTTTTGGGTTAGGAAGACTTAATATCTTAAAGATATTAGTTCTGTATAAAATATTAATCTGTGTATTTAATTACATCCCAATAAGAACTTTTTAGAACAAACTAGGTGATTCTAAAGTTCAGAAGGAAAAATAAGCAAGAATAGCTAGAAAAATTCAGACGAAGAATAGTAATGGTTAGGAGTAGGTAAGAACAAACTCTACGACATATAAAAATATAAGTAAAGCTACTACAGTTGAAACATTGTGCACTTGTGCGGTGTATCGAGGACCAGATTAACGGAACGGAATAAGAGGTCTAAAGACAAGGCCAGTGTATTAAATCATGATAATCCATATGATGAAATATTATTAATATATTTTTTAAAATAAAGAATCAGCATGCTAATATGAACTGATTTTTCAAGATATATTATCCAGTGCAAAAAAAAAAAAAAGTAGAAAACAGTGTCGGTTTTGTGTTTTGAAAAGGAAAGAACATATGTACATATAAATACACGTGAGAATGTATGTGTTTGCTTCTGTTTCCGAGAGGGGGATGTTGAAGTCTCCAACTATCCAGTGAATATACCCATTTTCCTTTGCAGTTCTATCTGTTTTTGCCTCACATGTTTTGATGCTTTCTTGTTAGGCCCATACATGTTAAGAATTGTTACGTCTTCTTGGAGAAATGATTCGTTAATGTGTTTGCTTCTACATGCACAGAACCTCTCTAGAAAGACAGACAAGAACTGTAACGGCACCTTGGGAAGGAACTGGGTGGTAGAGGGGGTCAAAGAAGGGACTTTTCACTGTAAACTCGTTTGTACCTTTTGTAATTTATTTCACAGGACCGTACAAACTATACCAAAACTACAATAAATTGTTTTTAATGCTAACAAGAAATTAGTATGGAAATGTGCAACATCTTTCTCTTATATCTAATTCCTTCAATACTGGGCATCTTTTCTGTATCCGTTAGCTGTTCGCATATCCACTTTTGAAAGGACACAACATGCTATTGTCTCTCTGCTTTTTCAGAAATGTCCTGATTATTTCTCATGTGTCTGTTTTTCCCCCGAGAACTTTAGAATCAGCATATCTATTCTAGAACCCATTCCTTCTCCCCGACCCTCCCAAAAGCAGTACTGTTTTTAAAGAGGACATTACATTCATAGATACATAAACAGTTCCCGGGGATTTTTTGTGGCACTTATTTCCCAGGTCCCATGGCCCATATCAAAGCACTCGGGGTGCCTGCCACTTCCTTTTCCACAAAGGTGGACCAGCATGATGTCCGTGATGGGAACAAGAAAAGGCAAAAGAAGCTGAGATTCTGGCAGAAGAAAATGCGACCTACAACTAGAGAGTTAATATGTAAAAATAATATGATTAATAGCCGGCATTTATTGACGAGCCAGCCATTTTAATCCATTCTCTCAGCTCTTACAACCTCTACGAGGCAGGCGCTATGATTATACCAACTAAGCAATAAAACCGAAGCTCAGAAAGATTAAGTAATTTTCATTCAACTGCTACTCCGTGGAGCTGGAATTTGACCCCAGGCAGCCCAGGGCTGGATTCCTGCCCTCTCAGCGTAGAAAATGAGCTGAGCTGCTCAGGAAAGGTAAACGGCTTCAGGGAGGCTGGGCGGAAAGAAAAAAGAGACACGTATGTTTGCTGAATCAATTGCTTCAGACCAAGGGCACGGCTGTTGCACTTGGTCTCACAACTGATTAAGGTTACAGCCTGTTGTGTGAGACACGGGATGGGCAGGTGGAGGGAACCAGCACCCTAGTGTCTCCCAGGTCATTGTCAGGGCACAAAAGGCTGACCTTTTCAGTAGGGAGGGAAAGCTGTGCTGCCACGATGAGGTTAGGGAGCTGAGATGGGGGTCCTGAGGGTTTCTGAAAAATATCCATCCCAACTATACCCATAGCCTCTTTTCAGGGAAGATGCCTGCATGAGCTCTAGGTTCTACTGGGCTCAGTGCCACGTCAGAGCTCCCTCCCTCACCTGGCCCCCAGTGAGTCACCAGCTTATTGCTGGAGCCACATGGCGCTGGGATTAGAGTCCGCTCAGACACCAATAATCCCCCAAAGCTTGCGTGCTTCCATCTCCCCAAGCGTGGTCTCCCGGTCAGACACTCCAGTCCTGCTGGGAAAAGCTCACAGGGCACCTGGCCCCCAGGATACCAGCTTCCATCAAGGTTTCCCAGGGGCTCTGGGTTGATAAACTGATTAAATTTTATCAATCACTTTAGAGGTCAAGATTTTAGAGAATTGGTTTTCAATGTTGGATTGGGAGGACTTAGCTCCCCAGAGAACATTTAAAAGTCTGGGGTTCTTACTCCATCCCCAGACATTCTGTCATAATCAGCCTGGCTTCGGTTCCAGCATTCCATGAGTTTGTTTGGTTCTGAGTGATTTTCATGCAGGTTCGTTAACATGCAGCATGGGCTGAGTCAGCGTAGACTTTGGTCACCTGCCCTCGCTTTTCTGGTGTTACACGTCAAGCCAAACCGTGGTGGCTGTCAACTGACCTCACTGCTGGAAACCCCAAGGTCTATAAACACAGATGCATATACTTCCCCTCCCCATTGAGAATCTGGGCTGGTGGGTGTCCCTGTTCTAGACTGTAACGTGCCAGATCTCGCAGGATGTTAGGGTGGGGAGACTCACAGTCGATTGTTGGGAAGCCTGGCATCGCGGCACCAAGTCGGCAAGGCAGCCTTGGCTCTCGGCCCTTCGGTTTCCCCAAGCCGTGCTGGGCACCCGATAACTGCTCAGTGAGCATCAGTGTGTTGGTTGTTGTTACTCATCCTTGAAGGACATTTCACCTGGGCTATGGAATCGCCTAGAGAACCGCCCCTGCTCCAGCCACGCTCTTACAGCCATGACCTCTACCATCAGTGCTATGCTCCCCTGGTGGAGTTACCCAAACTGGTCTCTCTGGGTTTCCAGCCCGCGGACGGGTGCTGCCCTCTGGTGGCCACCCTGTGTGTGCGCAGCCTAGTTTACTTTGTGGCCTTTGCCTTCTCCATGGGCTTGTCAGGTTTCTGGAGGGTCTCCATGCCGCTTCCGCTCTGCCACTAGGTATGGTGCAGGGGGATCCTACATGGGGCCATTTCCTGTATTTAGGGATCTTCTCTTCGTGTAGGTTCTCTGAGCGTCTGTGTCAGAAGCTGACAGTCGAAACTGAGAACTACTGAAGAACTCAGCACATGACAGTGCTGTAGAAAACCAACCTGCACTAAGACGGGCGACCGAGCAGGGCCCAAGGCCGCGTCCCGGGGACAGCCCAGCCCTGCTGAGTTCCCGCCTGAGAAAGCTCTGGGGTGTCCGAAGAACTTCCTGTCCGTTCCAGTCAATACCTGACCACAGTCCGCTGAGCCCCTGCCCCTCCGCCCTTTCTAGAGCATTCACTAAAAAAATAAAATAAAATAAAAAGGCTTATGATTGTGAATCCTTCCTCTGTCCCTTTGAGATACATACGCATGTACCTCCTGCAACCCAGAAATGTTTAAGGACCTGAAACTGTTCCCCTGAAACCGGGAAGGCCCGCCCCTGTCCCCCAGTCTCTGCGGGCGACACAGCTGGCCTAGTTGCACCCACACTGACCGACCCTTTGTGCTTTTCCACTTTCCTGGCTGTCTGGGCCCCACTCGCCTCTCCTGCTCCCTCGTTCTTCCTTTAAACAACCGAGTCACCCCAGCAAATCGGAAGGTGACACTCAGACCGCCCCACTGTTGGTTGCACAGAGTAAACGCTGGTTTCGCGGCTTTGACGGCCGCCGTGTTCATCTTTGAGGAAACCCGCTCACCCCGCAGGGCCCCGTGGGGGAAGCTCCAGCGGGAACGCGCCCTCTCAGAGTGGGTGGGCACCAGATCCTGGCAGGAACTCGACGGACCCAAACTCTCGGCCCCTGTCCTTGCTCCTTAAATGCCGCCCAGGAGACAGGCGACAGGCACTGGGGAGGGAGCGGCCAGCTTGAGCAGGGGGCACTGCCCAGGACCCCACCTCCCTGGGTGATGCGGGGAGAACTCAGGGACAGACACCCACATCTCAGGAGGATGAGAGGGAGCTTAGGCCAACACAGACAGAAAGCCGACAGCCCAGGGCAGGGGTCCCAGCACTGGAGGCAATCATCTGTGAGACACCCCCCAACCCCCTCCCTGGGCCTGGGCCACTGATCCACAGGCTCCCAGGCCTGAGGCACCAGGGGGGAACCAGCTGGGGGAGCAGGTGGCCCAGGAGGCGGGGCCTGCTTTCATAAAGCTGCAAGGCTGTGTCCCCCAGGCCCAGGGCCTGACCTGCAGGGACCTGGGAAAACAGACCCAAGATCCCCTTGTTTCGTTCCGGCTCTCTAGGTCTTTCAGAGGGTGCAGGGGTCCCCCTGGGCTGCTGCTTGTCTTCCTCACGCCCTCCTCCTTGATTTCACACGGGATCGATGATGCCAGGACCGCGCCCTGCTCCCGAATCACACTTCCTCCAGTTCGGGACCTGATCTGAGGCTCAGAGGCCCCTCCTGCCTCGGCCTCGCGTGCCCTCCGTGCTGGTCTCCCCCTGCCCACCTGCGAGTACCAGTCTTTGCCCCAGGGCTTCATCCAGGCTCTTCTCACTCTGCACCCCGCCCCTGGCCTCGGGGTCCTCCAGCACTCTATGCTGGGCTCTCAGCTCTGCCTCTGGAGCTGCAAACCATGCTCAGGCCCTCAGGGGCCTGGTCCCTCCATGCACCTCCCTGTCCCCAAACTTCTTTTGGCTCCTCTCTGGCCTTGGGGAGCCAGTTCCTTCTGTTCACTGTCCCTCTGCCTCACGTAGGAAGCGGTCATCGCCCACGCCAGGTGCGGAGTGGGCAGATTCCGGGCCCTCAGATATTCAGAAATGATGCGGGCCACACTCGGGAGAGGTTGGCGACCTGCTTTATTGCACAGCCCAGGAGCTGTTCGTTCTGCAGTCAGGGGCACAGACGACAGGAGATCGAATGTCCACGTGCACCAGCCTCCATCCTCCTGCCAGGCCTGCTTCCGGGCAGAATCCAGGACAGCGGGACATCCCTCAGGTCTCAGGAAAATGCAGCTCTGGGTCCACATACCAGAGCTGCAGCTCCAAGCAGCCATCGGTCCCCTTTCTTGCCATCCAATCCCCCGCCCTGAGGAAATGGGAGGCAGGGGGAGGCAGCCAGCAAACCTGGCCTCAGCCCGGGCTTTGCCACCAAACGGTAATGTCCTGCCACTCACGAGTCACTAGACATGGGTCGTTTTTTCTGTATAACCCACACTCGACACTCCACTCCAGGAGGCTGCAGAGGTCAGGACAGGAAGTTGAAACAGGGGCGGGCGGGGTGTCAGAGGGAGGCCCCAACCTGAGCTCTGAGCAACAGGCTGACCCAGGACCAAGAAATCTGGGCGAGATGCATGAAATGCTACCGCTGGTCCAAAAATGATGCCAACCAAGTGGGAGGGGGAGGCAATGTAGCAGTAGCTCTGGGACTGAGGGCAAGCGACTGAGGTCTCAGCCTCAACTCTTGCGGGAGAAGTCAGGGCAGCAGCTGGGGGTCCCAGGATCATCCCTCAGGTCCTTGCCTGCACCCCTGCCTGCACGGTCTGCCTCCCGGCCCTTGTAAGGCCAGGCACTCCCCCACCCCTCACCGTCCCAGCCAGCTCCGGGCAGACAGGGGTGGTGCTGGCCTTAGGAGCCCACAGTGCCACCCAAACCTCACCTACACCTGTCCCTCTGAATCCTCCCCAGCTCCAGGTGACCTAGACACTGCTGTGATAGGCTCCCTAATCCACCTCCTGCGGCTGAATGAGGCAGAGCTCAGGCCTGGCGCAGGGGCAGGGACAGGGACAGGGAGCTTATTCACGGGGCAGGGGGGCGGGTAGGGGACGAAAGTGGAACAGGAGAATCTGAGGAGGTACGACTTTCTAAACAGGACACTTTATGTGACTTTATAACTGTGAAGGACGCTAAACATGTAAGTCTCAATCTTGACCCACGTTACTAAGTTGCTCTTGTTTTTTGTGTGTGTGAATGTTTTTCTATTAATTCACCATTTTCAGAAGTTTCACATCTAAATGTGTCACAAATTAGAGAAGAATTTCGAGAAAGGCCTTTGACCCCCCGGAGGAGCCCCTCCACCTCACGGAGGAAGGGGCGCTTCCTGGGGTCACCAGGAGGACGGGGCCCAGGCGCCTCCTAGGCCACTGACCTTCTCCGCAGGACACCCGGCCTTCCTTGGGCTGCCCCACTGGCAGAGGCAGCTCCCGGCCAGGGGACAGGGGGAGCGTGAGGGTGGGATCTCTCCCGCTCCAACCTGACTCTGAGCTCAGGGCCCGGGCTGGTTGGGAAAGGGGGTACCTCCGGGAACCAGGCGGGCCCTGGCGAAGGGAACATGGGGGGACCAGGACACAGCTGTGGGGGTGGGGACAAAGGAGTCGTCAGGGACAGAGCCGAGGTCATCCAGAGAGCTGGGCACCTGAAAAGCGCATCACATGAAAGGGTCACCTCCTTGCTATGGAGACGCCCCCTCCCACCCCCTCCTGACTGCCCTGGCCACTTTCTTATCTCAGCTGTCACTGTGCCCAGTTAGCATCTCACTGCTCCTGGGCCCCAGGCCACCCTCTCTCACGTCAGACCCTACATGCCCCGCCGCCCTCTCTGGCTCCGACACACCTCGGGGAAGCACCTTGAGGACCCTGGTCTTCCGTCGGTCCCTTGTGACCAGCACAGCACCGGGCATGCAGCGGGTAGATACTCAGCACTTATTTATTTATTTTTTTGGCCGAATACATGAATATCCGAATCCAAACTCGTACAACGGCCCTGCTCTCCTCGTCCTCCACACCAGGCCCTCTCCCCAGCCGCGGGCCCCGGCTCCCTGGTACCTGGTCGAGGCGGCAGTGGTCACTCCCACAGGAAGCGCACGTACCAGATGGTCTCGTTCTTCAGCTGTGGCCCGAACAGGGGGTTCAGCTGAGCCAGGATGGTGATGAGCCAGCTGCCAGGGACAGCACAGACGGGATGAGCTCGGACCCAGCAGGAAGCTACCAGGTGGCACGCCTCACTCCAGGCCTGTGGTCACATGACTGACACAGCTGACCCGGGAGGCTGTGTTCCAAAGTGAGGGGCCCACAGAACCATCCATGCTCCAGCCGGCAAATGGGCTGAGTCTGGGGTTTGTGGGTTTGGGCTGAGGTTTGGTCTGATCTGATGTTCTGTAGATTTATAAGATCCTTGAGTTGGGGCTGGGGCTGGACCTGGGACGGAGGTGAGACAGCCTCCTGGGGCACGTTGGGAGCGCCTCCCGGCTGTGCCCTGACACGTCCCTGGCGTGGGCCTCCCCCGTCAGCACCTGGTAGCAGGGCAAGGCTGGGCAGATGGAAGACACGTCCGAGTCAACCCCTTTTAGGAGCAAGATGAAGGAACTACCCTAATACGAGGAGCTGATGACCTGAGTGCCCCACTCCCCAGGCCTGCTGGGGACAGGGCCTGTCCCTCAGGTCGGTAAGCTCTCCGAAGACCACTGGAACGCTGCACGAGTGGCGGCAGCGGTGGTGGCACCAGGCCCGGTGCCGTCACTTCATTTGCCCACAAAAGCAGGCCCCGAAGACCCCGAAGGCGCACGGCCTTGCGTGCCTCAAGTGACGGAACCAATGGTGACGTGTCTGGTTTCGTGGGAAGGATCCAGCTCTTCACCTCTGAACCCTCACAGCCGCCAGTCACGTGCCTGACACCCGGAAGCTGTCACAAACCGTTGCCTGCTTATCATCAGCCTTACCCCGAGTCTGTTTGGTAAATATAATTTCCAGGCATGGCATTTTCTTAAGTTACCCCCGCTTTCTGCCTGTGTGTACCGTCTCCTTCCCACATGTTGATTTGGTGTTTGTTGTCACCCGCATCCTGCCTATGCTCCACGTTCTCAGCCACCACCCTCTATGTCCTGTCTCTGAGCCACCAAACTATAGCCACTCAGGGGCCCTTCTCAGACACATGAGGTCATCTGTTAAGCCCCAAAGGACCAAGAAATAGCATAGAGAAAGTGCCTTCTATAGAGATGCTCTGTTCAGGGGAAATTCTGAAAAACTGAATGTCACCATTTGTATTTAAGCTAACATCTAAAAGTCATCATTACTTTGAACGAGCTTTATTTGAGGGGGGTCTCTAACAGGGGTAGAAATATTAACCATTATATAAAGTGAAACAAGAGAATTGACTAATAAGAATAAATAGCTCATGATCTAAATAGATAAAACAGGTTTTAACTACATAACGAGCACCAAATCTGAAATCGGTCATGTATATTTTTTAAATGTGGGTTTCATCCTATGTATTTGAAAAATTGGACAGTCCTAAAAAAATATTTCAGTTACTTTCAAAAGAATTTGTTACCTTTTAAAGAATCAGCATCTCATCACATTACATGTCCTATTTTAACTGTTCTGAATTCAAATCACCCGAACTATGCCAAGCTTAACTCATAAAAATAGCATATGAGACTCAAGAAAATGGGAAGCCATATAGTCCTAACTGGGCTTGAGTGATCATGAGCAAGGCCTCTCTCAAAACCGCAATGTAGACTTACTCCTCAGTTTGGCGGCCAGGATGATTTAAACACGCCGCAGCATAACATGGGATTGGGGACGGATGGAGGGGTGGGATATCTTTTTCGTAAAGGGGGAGGGGCTATCGGGAATGGCAGTTTTAGTAAGAGACCATCTGGATGTTGGTTCCCTCGTACACTGGCCAAGGTCTCACATTCCCCGGAATGCTGTTCTATGTCCCCAGAATCCCTCTGCCAAGTTCAGAAACTGCCCATCTGGCAGTTCTAAGCTGGCTGCATCACCACCACCCAGGGACATGCACTAAAAACACGGATTTTTCCAAGTGTAGATTTTGAGCACTGTGATTTAGTGGGTCGAGGGTGGAGCCCCGAAAACTATGTTTCACAGTCTTTCCAGGTGACTCTAATGCCCAGTCAGGCACCAAAAGCACTGAGCTGGCCCAAATCACTCATTTCATAGATAAAGAAACTGCAGCCTGTAGACATTACAAAGCTTGTCCAGGTGACACACTTAGAACTAGAACCCAGAGTTCATGACTTGCAACTCATTGCTCTGACACTCCAAACCACCTCTTCTCCTGTTTTACAGACTCAGCCTTTCAGGAACTCAATCTGTCACTACGGGGAGAGAGGGGGGATCGAGGGGGAAACAAGGCGAGGGAGAGGAGGAGGAAGAGGGGACCAAGGCACCCACTGACTTCGCCCTGGGGAGAGCAGTACTTACAAGAGGTAGCAGCAGACTGCGGTGGCCACCAGCATGGTGATGATCACTCTGCAACGGAAGACGATGTCAGGTCAGGACGATGGATGGAACCAGCACCCTCAGAAGTTCTGGCCAGAGCCATAGAAAGAGCTCCTGGTGTTGGTCTCTCTCCCAACGGCCTTCGCAATGCCACCTGAACACAGGAGGCTGAGTTCCACTCAGACGGAAAATAAAAATTCATGGGGAGGCGACCCTGACCACAACCGTGTCACATTACAAATCCCTCCCTTCATCCCCCTTCTCCATCGCCCACTATTTCTCCACCTTCATGCAGCCATGTTGAGAAAAGATGCTGCACAGAGCTAGATTTGCAGCTCCACCATGGAGTGGTCTCTGGAATTCAAAATTCACCGGGCGAGGGGCAGGAAAACAGACCAGGAGGCAGAGCGAGAAGCAAGGAGTCCGTGAGCCATCTCTGAGGCGGACTGAGCGGTGACGAAGGGCACAGGGACTAGCTTATCTGTGTCCACTCAAAGAAGACTGGAGACAGAAGCTTAAAATGCAGCACGAGAGACTTCAGTTAGACAGAAGAAAGAACTCACCAAGCTTGGCTGGAGAACTGAGACACTAAAACCGTCTACCACGTGAAGCTGTGGGACCTCAGCCCTGCATTTCTTGAAGTACAGAGCAAAGCCCAGTTGTCCCAGCGGCCTCCAGCTGAAGCTAAACCGAACCCAAACCAGGTCCTATGACCTCTGACCTACGGCACTCGAAGTCGGTGCCAGAGAAATTAGCGCTTGATCCATTCCTTGGACATTACCAAGCGCGGAGGGCCAGTCCTGTGCTGGGCACTGGGGACTACAGTGACCAGCCGGCCGATCTCCCACCTCGAGGAGGAGCTGGTAATCAGGGGCAGAGAGGACTTCACACTGAGGACATACGAAGCAGAAATCAGTGACTGGTGCAACAGAGGACCATCTCAAATCAATGACGCCGGTTAAAAATTTTCAAGACACAATATGTGTCACACGCCTTTAAGGGTTTTATATGCGTTGTTTTGTGTAATCCTCACAGCTGACTTAAAAGGCAGGAATCCTCTCCATCCCCATTTTACCTACGAATAAAGTGAGGCTGGAAGGGGTGACATTCGCTCAAGGTCACAGCTGGTGAGGCGTAAACACACTGCACCAGTGGCTAGCCACAGCCTTTGCTACCGCAGGGGGGGACCCCGGACCCCCTCCCGCGTCAGCTGGCTCCCCGCCTTTCTGAAGACGACTTCTCGGCCCTCTCCCCGGCGACCGACCGCCTGCCCCCGGCGGAACGCGGCCCAGCGCAGACCCGGGAGGAGGGGGCCT